AGCCACTCTTTACAATATGTGCTTTTCGCAGTTGGTCAGAAGCTGGCATCCTGACTTGACTGAAATATATAGTAGGATTAAGCTGTTGGGTAATCAGTATTACAACTATATTTACCTACTGTGTTCGAACCGAAAGGAACATTAAGGTATCTTGATTAGCATTTCATGAGATAGGGAATCTCTTGTACCCGTGTTTTTAAAAGCAAGGACCTTGAAAACCATGACCTTTTCCCACAATGTGCCCTCTTCTTTGCTTTTCTCCACTACTCGTTGCCATTGCATTTGTCTTCGTACATTCAATAACCTCGAAATTTAAGCTGTACAGTAGTAAACTACCGATTACTTTTTTTCAAATCGAAAACATTCCATAGGATAGCAAAACTACTGTATTTTGCCAGGAAGCTTCCAATCGCACTTTTTTATTTTGGCCTTACTATACTAATCTTGGAAGTTTCTCGTTTTCACCTGGTAAAGCAAGTCATGTTTATTGTTTTAGTTGTCGCGTGCCGGTGTTCAAGACTTCAGGAAGCATACAGTTGTTCATTTATCGTGGCCTATTCAGAACAACAGTGTCTAGTGAACTGAGTTATGGAAAGGTGGACTTGCCAGCGCTTACCTCACACCCCCCCACCCTACACCAAACCACGAAAAGATTGAGCCTGTGGGTTTTAGGTCTTTGGGATCTTAAGGTTCTTATCGAGGATGTTTGCAATAGGCACTACACAACGAAGCTGTCACTGACACCTCACCCTTCAGCCGACTAGTTCGCGAGCTACGGCTTTTGGCGGCTGACGTGCGGCGAACACTCCGTGTAACGTTTGTCACACGCAAGTATGGGAACCTTTGTCTATAGAATATCGTAGACAGTCAGGCACGTGCCACAGGTTTGTTTGACCACTGCCGAGGCCTGACCCAACATTAAAGCCCAGCAAAAGTGCGCGAACTCATGGATTGCCCTATATTTTTTGTCGCAAGCAAGCCAAAGGTTCGTGCAAATTCTGCTCAGCTTCTTAAGTGAGGAGCAGTGGGGGATTAGTCTGCATTATAGACTTAAAAAAATGTTGTTGTCTGCGATTACAGTGTACGTTCGCTACCCTAAGGCATGTAAGGCACTTCCTTCACAAGACTTCCATGAGTAGTTTGTTAGCATATGCTCGAGTCAACGAGACCGAAGGCGGGATCGGGCGCAAGCGGCCACACCTGACTCAGATCTCACGGAGCGGGCATACCATAAAGGCCACCGGTGGCTGGTGCCTGGTCTGCACCTGCGCGTGCCACCCTAGAAAGCGACGACACGGATCCCAGCTCACAGTTTGGGCCTCTGTGTTACACATCCGATCATGTACCACTTGGTCACAACCTTCCAAGCCACGGCTTTTAGGAAAGTACGCTGAACCGTCGACCTCGTTCTCTATTCCCATTCCCAGGCCCCAACCACCGTGTGAGCCGGCCAGTGGATGGATGCAGGGCGTAGGCGCAGCTGTGGTTATGTCGAATGTCCTCGGCTGCGCATAATACGCACACGACCTGCACCCTCCCAAAAAAACATCAGCACCAGGATTTCGCACAAAAAATGGTTGAGTGCCTCGCGTCTTACCTGAAGGAATGTCAGAACTCGGGTTAAGAAGAAGTCATTGCAGTCTGACTCTCAAACCACCAGTCGGCCACTCTGCGCAAACGCACATTTGGCTGACTGCGAGGTCATAGTGTAGTTGTCAGTCGGTAACCTGCCAAGTCCCAACGCTTAGTGTGCCGTGGTAGTCTCAGGCTCAAATCCACATGCAGCAAACGAGTCACTTGGAAGAGCCGAGGATCACACATACCTTGCTGGCTGCAAATATGTGTCTTGTCTCCCTATCGCTTTCCTTTAGCTGTCGCTTTTGTAGCTGTTACTGACTGCATTCTACGCGAATGGACTTATAAATGTTCTCATTGATGGGTACGCGGTTTAACCATGAGCCTACAAAAGCAATGGAAACTGGAATGGTTATTTCTGACTTATCGGCTGTCATCAGCAAGTCACCCCTAATCCCAGGTTTTAAAGCCCCCTGAGACTTGAACCGGCCATTCTTCGGTTCGAAGTTTAACGTTCAAACCACTGACCTACCTTCTGGTTGCTCTGTTGGTTTCGATGGGGAATATTTCCAATGATGAGTGGGTGACCCTTGACCACTTACGAGGGTTACTCTATCCCTCGTGTTTTGGAACTCGATTTAACATCCCGTAGACAGTCATGCGGTGACCACTATTTTTTGCAGGACGTGATTACTGACAAATCGATAATGCGATGCTAATGCGCGCTCGACACGTGTTTATTGCATTGTTTGTGCAGCGGGAGACCTAATAATTTTACTCTATGCGAAGCAGCAATTTAGTCCAATAAGCAGACATCCTGAGCAGTACAAGCACGCGTACTCTGTGATGCATGAAGAAGGAACAAGAATGCAGCTCAGTTTCATAACAAACCAGAAGGAGAATACTTGAAAATGCGGTGCGTGCAGACAGTTCTGGGGTAACTTATACGCTGCTAGGAACCACCTGGTTTCATGAAAAAAATCAGCAGTGAGGCGGCCCCCTCTACTAGGATTTCAAATAGCAGACGCTCAAGCCTTGACAAAGAACATTCCAAAAGTAACTGACAAAATGAAAACAGGGGAGCATTCAACTGTGATTACAAGCATTTGTTTGGATCTAGCCTCCGACTTACCAATTGGGGCGGGTTTGAGATTTCCAAGCGCTTTCTCTAACGTAGTTGCCGTTCTCATTATTGCATTTGAGTTTGTGGACAACTATTGATGTCTCAGTGAGTGGCAGCGTGTCGTTATTTTAAATCAAACGGTGGCCAATTATTGTCTGTGCTCGATAGACTAGGACTACTCTGCAGGGTTGTGACAGTCGAGAAACTGACCATATTTCGATCTTCAGGAAGTGACCGTCTAAGGTCTAGGTAAATTGACAACTCGTAGGCTAGTCCCAACCCCCAACCTGCAGCACACGTTTAAGAAACTGGGCTTGCTTTCGATATTCAGAAAACTGTCATCCTAGTCTTGGTCAAATCAAAGAATAACCCTTGAGGCATGGTAGTCAGATGTCAACAAGGCGCTTGACCTTCCTGCATCTTATAAGGTCCTGCGTCATTACGTACACACATTTTAGGGCAACCTGGCTACATAGAACTTGAGAAAGCTGCGCAGACACAACCCAGCAACGAACTCACCCGTCGGGAAGACAAAAAAGCTGCCAAACCGAACTACTACTGCGTACTCTGAAGTTTCCCCTATCGAGGTAGCGACGCATAGAGCACGCAGTCCACCAAACATCCTCCAAAAGGTCAAGACAGCGAAAGAATAAACTGATCAATATTAGGCTGACTAGAACGACATGCCTCTTTCACTCCCCTTCGATAAAGTACCTTTGGCTATGGTTCACCGACCTGGCTCTCCAAAATGTCAGCATTCTCATATCACTGTTTCACTGAAGCCTTCTTTTCTTAAATTACGTGCCTGTCATATTTCTGTCTTTTCCTGTATCTTTTTGAAATCCCACCTCCATGCCTTTCTCTCTTTACCACTTAAAGCTAATGAGATCTGCTTGCTATCACAATCGACCCCTCCCCCCTTTGGCACAGTCTTTGTCAGGGCGTTAGCCTCTGCTCTCTGAAATCTTAATAGAGTTGACTTCTCCTTCCTCTTTTGTTTTGTTATGAAAACCAGGTCGTTAATAGCAGCGTCTGAGTTCCCCCCAGAATTACCGTTTACGGTGGCTGCATACCAAAGAGGTCTTGAATTTAAAGTATCCTGTTCCATTTATGTGGTGTGAAGCCCATCTTGGTTCTCATCCCCGCCCACTCTCCCTTCATCACAAAGCACCCGCGTTTGTACTGCTGGGGCGACTTACTTATTGGACTACATTTCTGCCCCACATAGAGTCAAATTAATAAGTCTCCCTCTGCGTGCACAATGCAGTAAACACTGGCTTTCGAAATCCTATTGGCTTTGTGGCGTGTATCTGTCGCCAATCGTATTCTGCCTATAATACTAATCACTGCCGATAGAAGCGAATAGGCGAGTTCCAGGAAGTAGTTCACATGTAGAAGATGCAATCGCTTGAACAATAAGTTTATTAACCTGATGTTTCGGATTCTTTCGAGAACCACGCTGATGTTTTTATCATCCAATTCTACGGTTACCCCTGATGAAGGGTTCTCGACAGAATTCGAAACGTCAGGCTCTAAACTTATTGTTTCAGCGATCGCATCTTAAGCTGGTTCCTACATGGAACTCTATATCGAGCTCCGAAAGCAGAAGGGAATGTGTGAGCTTCGTGACCGATGTGTTAAAGCCCATCCGCCTTTTTTTTATATTCCACCGGCAGAACAAGAAGCCCGTGGCTTAATGGTTAGAACTTTGAACATCCAACCCACATGTCGCGGGCTAAAGTCTCAAAGGTTGCGAAGCCTGGCGTTAGGTTGGTTGGTTAGTAGCCCTTGTTGGCGTTAGGTATGACTGGCTGGTGACTGCTAATGAGCCAGAAATGCCCAATTTTAGTTTGTCTTGTCTTTATAGACAAGAATATTGCCGACAGAGACAACGGAGACTGTAGTGGCCATTTCTGGCACATCAGCAGCCACCGGCCATTCATACCCATCCTCACGTGCTGCATAACCCATGGTTGACGGGTTAGAGCGTTTGACTTCTAATCAAAATGTTCGGATTACGGGTGGTGCGACACCCTTGTCTTTGTCGGTAACATTTCTATGCCTTTTCAGTATCATTTTATTGCTTTTGTTAAAATAAGGTTAAACGAACTGTCAGTCTCATGCTCAAATGCATCTCTGCGAAACGACGTAAACTCTTCACAGTATTTAAACAGTATTGTGAGACGGATCTTGGAAAGGCTTCATAATATCGCATACAAAGAGCCATAGGCGCAACCATGTTAATTCTAGTCGGTAACACCTTCATACTGCCGAATGTAAACTTGCAAAGCAATTATTTGACATGCAAGCCATGAGTACGCTCCGTGTGGTATGTCTTTCGCGTATCCAAACATCGAAGATTTTGTGGCGACGCAGGCTTCGGCTTTTTAACAACTGCAGTTTCCTCTGTGATTTGTATGCTCTATTTGTAGAGCGAGCACCTTTGGTCAAATCCGGACTTTCCGTTTTTTTATTATAGAATAAGTGCTGGCGTTATTGGCCCTCGGCAGCAGAAAAAGTCCTTGTGTTGCCCAACTACGGGGGCACCCTCCGAGTGAGACACGACACTGAATTCAACACCGACACATATACCCTGCGCCAACTCTTCCTTACTCGAGACTCATCATCTCTCCGTAAGTCCAAGTCCTCACCGTCGCCGCAACCATCGTCGGGGACAGACACTGTCGCCTGCAACAGCTCAGATTCTTCCGCCTCAGCATCGACCACGGCGGAGGGGTTCGCTGTCTATCATTACCAATTCCACGCCTGGCCTGATCACGGCACTCCCAGCGATCCCTCTTGTGTTCTCAACTTCATGTGTGAGATCTCCAACAGACAGGTGAACCTTCGATATCCCATTTCGCAACCCTTTATTCTACTTTCTGCTCCCTCTCGTTACCTCTCCAGCTACATTTTAGAACATTTGTGTTCGTCAGCTCTCGCTGTGAATGGTACTTTGGGTTTCAGTATGCTATGTATCAGAGTACT